AGCGACTGATTTATTTGGAAATCTTTTCTCCCAACAATGTTCTAGGTTCCTTCAGCTCATGGACTTGAATTCTGCCCAATGATTGAGTATTCTGCTTACACTTCTGGGCACACAGTAAACCTTGAGGAAATCTTCGTGCCAATTGAAAAAGCAATATTTAAAAACCAATTTTTTTCTGCATTGTTTATCCCAGAAATTGAAAAATGAGATAGTTTTATATACTTCTCCATCACCTGCCAAAAAGTTGACATCCATGTGTACCAAACTAAAAGTGTGTAGCTCTGCTCTACGTCTCCATCTTGTAAGCACTGAACATTACCAATGAGTTACTATTTTCCCAAACTGATAAGCTAGAAATGAAATAATTATTTTACTTTTCATCTCACTCTTCCCTGCTGAAATCTTTTCATATATTTAATATACATAAATTTGTTCTTTTTTAGCTAATTAAAAATTTAACTTTCTTTTCTTGATCTCTTCAATGACGGACTTTTTTATGCATCTGTGATAATAGCCTTTGATTTCTTATTTATTTTGGAAATATTCTATTCCTGTGGTATATTGCCATTTAAAACTACTTATCTCATTCTTTAAAATACAGAAGTTCTAAGTTTTACACTGTATATCTGAACTATTTTTATTTTATTCCTTTTATGTTTTATGTTATGCTTGGCGAAGCCTTTTTCACATTAAGATTATAAAGATATTCTATATTTTTTCTTGTGTAGCATTTATATTTGTTCATAAATTTGGATCTTCGGACAATCTTAAATTTTTTTTGCATATTAGAATGAGATTCAGATCTAATTTCAGGAAACAGGTTTCCTGAATGAAAATTTAGCCAATTAGTTCCCCTGCCTGCCTTTGGTCAAAATCAAACTCATGGAATTATACCTCAGATTCAAGTGTTTATAAAGTATGATAAAGGTAGAGCTAATGCATTGTCTCAACACATCTCTATGTCCATCTTTGTTGTAGAGAGACAATAATCTGATTCTCATTTAACACAATTTAGAATCAGTAGTGAGATCACTAATGTCTTTGCTATCATATTATTAATATGCTGCTCTATGCATAGCAGTGATTAAAATATCTGTTGATTTACAGAATGGACTACAGAAAGGAGTGTGAGGATGAGTACAACACTATTTTTAATTTTTTTGTTTAGTTGTTATTTATTTGTTTTATATCATGAGGTATAAGTGCATGTTTGTTACATGGACGTTTTGAGTACTTCTGGAGATTGAGCTTCAGGTGGCCTGTTTGCCAGATAGTGAGCATTGTATCCAATAGACAACTTCTAAACTCTAATTCCTCTCCCTGCGTCTCCCCTTTTAGTGTCTTCAGTGTCTATTATTTCCATCTTTGTGGGGTGTTTAGCTCCCACATACAAGTGAGCACATATGTTTACTCCTGTTTCTGTGTCAGTTTGCTTAGGATCATGTTCTCCAGTTTCACGTTGCTGCAAAGGACATAATTTTGTTCTTTTTTTTGAGTTGGAGTCTCCCTGTCGCCCAGACTGGAGTGCAGTGGCCGCTCCCGGCCACCGCAGCCTAAACCTGCTGGGCTCCGGCGATCCTTCCACCTCAGCCTTCCAAGGAGCCGGAACTACAGGCCCGTGCTACCCAGCTAATTTTTTTGATTTATTGTAGAGATGAGGTCTTGCTGCCCAGGCAGGTCTTGAACCCACGGGCTCAGGAAATCCACTCACTTCAGCCTCCCAAAGGTGCGGGATTACAGGCTGAGCCACCGAGCCCAGCTGATTTTGTTCTTTTTTATGGATGTGTAATATTCCATGGTATATATGTACCACATTTTCTTTATCCAATCATTTAATGGACACATAGATTAGTTCCATGATTTTGCTATTGTGAATAGTGCTGCAATGAACAAACAAGCACACGTATCTTTTTAATATAATGATGATCTCTTCCTAAAACTAGACACAAGAATCCTTCTGATAAATATATAAACATTAATGGATGTTATTTCACATTACATATCTCCTGTACTCAATCATAACCTGTATCTATACATTCTAACTTAAGATCAAAGAAGGAATAAAACAAATTTACAAGATGTTGTGACTTTTATATCATATGTTAAGATAAATCAATAGAAAAAAAAAGTCAAAGTGACTGAAATAACCACCTTTGACTTTATTGGCATTTAAACCTTTTGAACTTGGGGGAATCACTGATGCAGCACTTTAAGGGGATTTGATTTTATAGGCTTTTCAGTCCAAGAGTTTTTAAGAATACAAAAAATGATGTGGCCTTGGAGATATGACAGGCATCAGGCTGTCACTGTGAAGCTGCTTGCTTCTAAATGGCTTGTTCTCCTGTTTGAATCCATAATCCACTGTTAGAGAAGTTTTAAATGTGCTGGCAAAGATGAAAGATGCTTAGAAGCTATTAGCTTATAATAGGAATTGATAGATAAGTGGACCATAGAAGTTTAGACCCTGACCTAAAGGGAAGTGGCAAATTGAATTGAGATAATTATCTTGTTAACTTTGGGCAAAATTAAAGTTCACCTTTAAAATAATCAGATCATTAATGGCAAAATGCAGATTCTCATTCACTTATATGATAAAGTGAAAAGAAGTTACAAAAATTTTCTAGCTCTGTTTAAAAAGTTATAATTTGTAAATTTTCATTTAAACACATTGAAAATTTGCAGAAAGTTCAAAGGCTGAATATTCTTATTCAAATGGAAAAGCTTTCTATATTACTTTGCTTTTCCTATTTAGAATAAGAGAGCTTGCATTTGCCTTTAGTATTCTGATCAAAGAAATGAGAAAGAAAAAGAAGGTTGTAAATGGAGGTCATCTTAAATTAAATCTTTTTATTCTTCAATCGTAGCTTATGTCTATTATATTCTAAATTAGGGCAAAACCAGAGACCAAGCTAATTTATGAAATGCTTTGACTTTAAATAGCTCATGTTCAGTAGATTAGCACAGAGAAGTATAAACTCTGGGAATTAACTAAATTCTATTATCATTGGGAAAAAATGTCTACCTTCAAGTCTTCAGGCATAATTGCTAAATAATTTCTATTCATTGATTTCTGGGATAGAACTGATGTCTCTTCCATGGGAAGCTAAGTTCTCTAGTCAGTACTAGATCTTTATCACTGCCTCAACCAGGCCTAACTTAGCCCAGCAATAGTGTGCCTATCTACACTTGGCAGTGGGGGAGGTATTCAAAACACCACTTAGGAAACATTGCAAAGTTAGAGGAGAGTTTCTACTCCCTTGGAGAGTAGTCAATGAAGGGTTTTCTGTCTCAACAGTTTGAAGGTGTGGGTGAAGCTTAAGAGTGGGAAAGAAAAAAACTGGACTGAGTAATAATAACTTGTCCTGCTAAATCATTCTTCTCTGCATGAGGTTTCTAAGGCACCTTATTTTCAAATCAGATTAAATTAGCCATGAGAGTAGAGAAACACAGGCACAAAGCCAAATAATTAAGCTAAAACATATGATTTGGATTCAATTATTTATGCCCTTTAGGACAAAATATAATTTAATAATGAAAAAAGAAGCAACATTTGAAAAGTCTCATTTATTTGCCTAACATTGATTGTGTAGATATAGTTTTTAAAACTGATGCCTGTATAAAGAAAACATAAAGATATAGTAACTGGGATGTGTCCTTGCAGTATATTTTTAAATTTAATATAATTTTGATTTTAATTTTTTTTGAGTTGGGGTGTCATTCTATCACCCAGGCTGGAGTGCAGTGGCATGCTCACAACCACTCCAGCATGGACCTACTGAGCTCTGGTAATCCATCTGCCTTAGTCATCCAAGTAGCCAGAAGTATAGGCATGAGCTACCATGCACGACTAATTTTTTTTTTAATTTATTTATTGTAGAGATGAGGTCTCACCAAGTTGACTGGGCTGGTCTTGAACCTGTGGGCTTAGGCAATCCACTCACCTCATCCTCTGAAAGTGCTAGGATTACAGACTGAGCCACCAAGCCAGGCCTATTTTTTAGTTTTAAAAATTGAATGCTTCCACTTCAAATGATACAAAATGAACATGGAATTCAAAAGCAACTTATGTATCATGATTTTTAAAAACCAAATATTTCAATTTGTGTCACCCTAAAACATTTATATAAAACATTTAATGGTTATTCTTTGATTTCTTTAGTACTTTTTGTTAGTATAGTCTCTGGATTATTTATGTCATTTTTAACTCAAATATTCTATAACATGCCTTCCTGGTTTTTAGTTTATTTTCTTTTATGAGTAAAGTTTATAAAGTCAGAATTTCATTTGTTTATTCATTCTCCAAATGTTACCAAATGCCTATTTACAGTCAAGCAGGATTAAAAAGTACTGGTTGTGCAACAGTGGCCTAAAATTGACACTCTGTGGACTCATGCAGATAATGTCCAATTAGGGAGACAGATATCACAAAAACCACAACACAAATATTGGACACTTATAATTTAAAGTACCTGCTATAAAGGAAAAACATGTGATTCAATTAGGATATAAAAAAGTCTCATCATAAAAATGTAGTTATAAGCCATGAGCAAAATATTTATTTGTGTCAAGCACCAGGAAATTCCTCTCTGGTTTATATGTATAAAATTTAAGAAAAATGAAAAAAATTAAATGAAAATGAGCAAAATTAATTTAAAATTAACAAAAAACTTAGAGTGGATTGTAAGCAAGATAGGCATAGTGTAGTAATGCTCTTCCTTGCCCTCCTCAGCAAACATATATATATATATTGTGCAGATCAAGTGGAAAGAAAAGTCAAAAATCATCTATCTGAGAGAGAAAATGATCAACATGGTAAAAAAATATTTTCTTCTAATAGTCACATTGCTTCTAAAAGAATCAGTATTCAGCTCAGGTTGTGTTTAGGTTTTGTTCTGATCCAGAAGGGTAAAAAATAGTTTCCAACAAATTCCTTGTATATAACTCTTAATTTAGATATGTGTACATGACAGTTGAATGGTGTTGTCTTTGTTCTGTTCCAGGAGATTATGTGGTCATGTCTGTCTACTTTGATCTGAGCAGAAGAATGGGGTACTTCACCATCCAGACCTATATCCCCTGCACACTCATTGTCGTCCTATCCTGGGTGTCTTTCTGGATTAATAAGGATGCTGTTCCAGCCAGAACATCTTTAGGTGAGATGCATTTGTTTGTGTTGTAGTGTCCCAAGATAAGTACCCAATACAAGTAATCTTTATTTATCTTTCTAAGTAAAGTTGCTTAAAATTTAGCTAGTAATTACATATTAATACCATTTGTTTCATTTTAAAGGAAGCTAACATTTTTTCAAACAGTGCTCAAAGTTTTCTAGTTTTGTTTCCCTTAATTACCTCAATAGGTTTTTATTAGTGAATTTCCTTAATACATTTAAATTAACTATTTAGAAAACACGTTAGATTTCAACAAGTTTGTTTGTTTTGATCTCTTGGCAGTCATATGATGAAGCTGCTCAAGCTGATTGTGTTTAGCCTTTCCCAACTCTGTGTTGGGTAATGTCATATTGGTAGTTTTGAAATCAACCAAGGTAGAAATGTTAACAACATGGAAATAGAAAAATATTTAAAATTATGGTCTTCTATTTTCTGGAGAGTCAATTGTTACACATTTTCCAGCACACCACTGGCTGCTGGCTAATTCCAGCATGTGTAATTATTGTGATGACATTTGAAGTAATGGTTCTTTTTAGAAGAGCCATTGAAATGACTATTTTTTGGAAAACATGTTCACTTCTATTTGCTGATCATTATAAGTCAGGCATGCTTGGTATGGTTCCTATAGTTTGTAAAATATTTTAGGGGGAAAGCCACTTTTAAGATTATTTGCAGTTTTCTCAATCTATTATAAATAGTGACAGCTTTCTTGGATTCTCACATTGCTTTCTTCACATAAGAAAGAAGTCTCACATAGACTAAAACAAAGCCACAGATAAAATTCCTTAAAGACTTAATTAAAAATAAAGCTAGTGAAAGACGAATTATAAATCCACAATACTTCATCAGCTGTGTGATACCTAGAACCATATCCCTTGCTAACTCTCTGTCTAGGAAGGCAGTATGTCATTGTTAAGAACTTGAATTGTGAAGTCCAACAAATACAGCTGGACTTGAAGTTACATTATAGGACATGACCTTGGAATATCCTTTAATTTCACTAAAATTCAATCTCCTCTTATGTAAAACATGTATCATTTTGTGAACCTAACTTGTGGAGTTCTATTAGGGTTAAATAAGGTATCAAAGCATAGAGTAATGCCTCAGAAATGTCAGCTACTATAGTCATTTTCTGACAAAATGATCTGTACTAGATTATTAAACTGAGGGCAGAAGTGATTACTGAGGGAAAAAAGACAACATTTGCATATCTGTCCTCTTCCAAACCTAATTTAGTTTCCCATCTGTTTCAGAATGAAGTTATTTTAATTTTTCCTGTTATATGCAGTACTTTGTGTTACAAGTCCTTTTCAACAATTAAAATATCTTGTCTAATGCTCCATATTGAAATAAACCCAAAATATACATTGAGTCTATTACTTTAGAACTATTACTAGTCACTGTAAGTAGGATATATTCTATTACATGCTTATATGTCTTTCTCTCATCACAACGTCAGTCTTTTTCATCTCCAGTGCAGTACCTGGCACATAGCTGATACCTCAATGATTATTCAATTAATGTGTGTACTTATGAATGGATGAGCCAAATGCATTAATGTATTCCAATCCATATTCTTCCCAAAAATATTTTAAGGAAAATATTCCAAATCAATCTCTCTTCTTGAAGCCAAGGCAAAATCTTTCTTATAACCACTTCAGTGGTTCATTTCAAACACTCATTAAATGAGTGTTCATTGGCGATAGACCATGTGGGAGAAAGAATCAAGGTGAGTGAGTCAAAGAATGAGGGAAATACCCTGGAACAAATAGCAGTAGGTACTTCTATTTGTTGATCATTTATAATGTCAGGCATGGTTGGTATGGTTTCTACAGTTTTTGTATTCTTCATGACAATGCATGGAGAAATTGTTGTAGTCATGATTATTATCACTTTTTTTAGAGCTGAGCTAAGGAAGTAGAGGTGCTGCAAGTTTAAATGACTTACACAAGATCACACACTATAAGGAGGCAGTGAATCTGCACCTTGACAAATGGGACATAAGTTTTCTCTGGGTGGAGGTCTTGTTGAAGACCAGCTCTGGGTACAGAGAAGAAGCTGAGCTGAGCAAGTTTCTCTGTTTTAACTTTGCTGTCTCAATTACTTTTCTACATCATTGCATCTTAAATTTAATTGCACATTTATATCACTAGGGGACTTTTAAAAGCTCAACTGCCTTAGCCTAACCCCAAGAGATGCTTATTTAATTTGTTTAGACCATGGCCTAAGTGTTAGGATTTTAAACAAATAATCCCCAGGTGATTCTAATGTGCAGTCACCTTTTAGAATACTGCTCTAGCTGTTACTGAATCTCTATCGCTGTTTCCAATGTTTACAATCAAGGGTTAAATGGGATGACCTTAAACACCTGCAGATTTTGTTTCTTTCCATAGAACGGTGAGAGACAAGCTGTTTGATGAGTGAGATAAGTAGACCCACATGGCTCAGATATTCTGGCTGTTTTCTGAGCACTGGTCGCCAGAGAATGAAGAACTATATCTTGGCGCTTATAAGACTTGAATGTAGTTTAGTACCCAGGTGGTAACTAGTGAGGCTTATTCCTGATATCGTGCCAATGTATGAAACCATAAAATTTCCACTTGGTATTTTCTACTCAACTGACTTGAGGTGAGGAAACACCCTTGAAGAGCTTACTCCAAGCCAAGACTGGAAAAAGTGGTAAAAACTACGCATTTTTTAAATCTATATCAGATAAGATAAATCTAATTTCTATACTTGATGAAACTGGATTTAAAAACCACATCCAGCTATCTTATTGTTGGTTGGTGAGTCAGTTGAAATTACCACTTCTCTAATTCTCATTCTTAATATCATAACAGTTCTCTTCCCTGTGGTTCCGGCAGAACCCTGGATATATCATGAAATAATTTTTTAAGATTTCACTTTTCCATGACCGTGATAATCTTTCATGGTGTCAAAAGAACATTTTCCCAAATGTTTAGATCAGTGTTTAGCTTACATGTCAGAATTTTTTTTCCTAAATTATCTCATACCATATTTTAAAAATGAACGAATCTATGGTATCTACCATAAACACTGACATTTTCACTTGTCATAGGTCAAGTGTGGCCTCAGACCTGATTAAAAAATGAAGACCATGGTGCCAATTTGGGTTGTCAGTTCTCTTCAAAAATATCAACTGTGATTAGGTGCAATCAATAAATTCTACATGAGTTAATGCGTAAACAGTCTAAGAAGTAAATCTCTCTTCTCTAAAATAAATGGTACTAGTACCTTACATTTATTAGGATTTTACTCGGTATTGGCCACTCCATATACATTATTTAACTTAAAATTCACGAGACTTATGATGTTCCCCATTATCACTACTTCAACCCTAAGCTTGCAGTTGAGGAGTTTAAACCTTCCTATGGTTCCACCATGACAACACAGAAGACCCCGGACCCATATCACTTCTCCAATCATGAATCTACAATAACTGCCAACTATCTGGTGCTTCATGCTGCATATTATTCATATATTTATGGAACTAAAACAATGTGTCTTAGGGCAAACATTTGAAGTCAAGCTGCCTAGGAGTGTATCTCAGCTCTACCACTTACTAGCTTAGACAATATTTGTTCCTCCTGTGTCCAGTATTTTTCACCTCAAAAAAAAAAGTATCAGTAGTTACATCATAGAATCTTTGTGAGAATGTTTTGGGAAAACATGCAAAAAATGCTTGACATAGTACCTGGTCAAAGGAAAAGGTCAATAAATACTAGCTACTGTTATTTGTAATTAAAACTTTCTCCCACAAGTCATAAATATGGATTCCTATTCTGAAATGTATGTTGAGCCTCTTTTATATTTCATGTACGCAGTATTCATTGAATCATTTTTTCCGACATTCATTCAACAAAACTTTATGGAGTCCCAGCTCTATGCACAATTGTGGGGTTATAAAATTATCAAGACAGATGTCTATTTTCACAGAGTATAGAGATTATAAAGGGAGATAGATTATGACAATCAGTAATAGTATAATAAAAGGGTTATGGCATTTATAACTAGAGTTCCCTGATCACCCCTTTCATCTACTAAAGGCTACTCTTTCCCATAAAATAAGCTCAACTAATACTAGTCTTTCTATTCTCTAGAATTTCAAAACACATGTACTTAAGAAACTTTGCTATTAAGCTACCATTAAATGACCTAAGAGAACCACATCACTCTTGGGAGTATAGGTAAACTATTAAAAAACGTTTCAGATAAATAAATACTTGAGAAATTGGGAAGAAAGATGCCAATTTTTATCTTTTCTTAGCCCTTCTTCAAGAGTGTTGGTTCCTCTCAGTCATCTTCTCAGAATATTATACCAGTAACCCATATCTTTGAGAATAAAATATTTTATTTCTTCCTACATGCACCTGATACTACTACTCTTCTTTGTAGCTTCCTTCCTCCTTTCCCCCCAAGTCTCAGTACCTGATACCTTTTGAGTTTCCCTAGATCTTCCATTTGAGAAAGGAAAATCTAATTGTCTCCTGGAAGTCTCTTGATCAACAGTAATAGTCATAATTGTACATCATTAAATGATAGAAACTTTACGTTCTCCCCCCCCCGAGAAACCTAAGTCTCAAACTTATAGATGGTAAAGTCAAGGAGTTGCCACTTTTGGAGTACACAAAGATGCTTTCAATCTTGATAAAAAATGCTGAATTAGAATTCTAGAATGATAGGATGTGTGGGCCATCAAAGAGTCCAAAAGATGAAAAAACTGAGGCCCATGTTGTTAAGAGGGCTTGTGTTCTTACAGCAATATCTAGAACCTACTTGAAGACTGAATGCATGCTGCCTTCGTTATAGATAACACAGGTTTTATACTAGAAAAGCCCTTGATCATTCTCTGGTTGATGGATATTGAACATCTTGACTTTCTTCCCTGTCACTAAATAGCCATTGACGAGGGCAAGTTTGCCTGAGTATCTTTGCGCAATGTGTAAAAGAAGAGCTTTGAAATCAGATATTTAATTTCTGCATTCATTTCCTTCTACTGCTACCTTAAGAACTGTTGGATATGGTGCTGGTCCTTTAGCCTCATTTTCCTTATCTGTAACACCAGAATGACTGCCATTGCCTTGCTAAGCTATGGTGTGGCCATGCACTCTTTGAGCTATGGCCAGGCCATATTTTCTTAAGCTTTGATCCCCTCCCCTACCTTGGGAAGGTGAATCACCTCTTTCTCTCTTGCTCTAATTTACTTTCTAAATAAACTATATTTTCTAATCTAAAAAAAGTTATCGGGATAAAAATATCTATTGTGAAGACACAAAGAAAAAAAATATAAAGTGTTTATCATTGTGCCCGGCACAAAGAAATTATCGTCAAATATTAGTTATTATGCTATTCTAAGCTAATTCAGGAATCAGAACTTGTCATTTACACACAATTCACCTCTTCTGTTAAACACTTTTGAATGCTTTCTTCTTGCACTTTGAATAAAATGTAAACCTCCTTTCATGTACTGATTGATATAACTTCTATTCACCAAAATCATCTTGAACCCCTACCCCTCCCCAGATGCAGGCATTCTAAGATTTTAAAAACAGACGTTTCTTTCTCTCAGAACCTTCCATTTATTTATTAATAGTCAAAAAGTTGGTTACTTTTTATATGCTAAACTTCACATTAAACATCATCTCCTCTAAGAGACCAATCCTGAGCATTCCATCTAACTAGGTTCTAAACATCTGTGCTATTCTCCATGGCACAAATTGTAATTTAAAACACACTAGTTATTCATAGTGTGTATCCCTCATTAAAATATAAGGTAAATAATAGTCAGGACCAAAACTATTCTATTTTCCACTATATATTCAGCTCTTGTCATGGTAACTGATACATAACAGATAGAATAGAAATATTTGTGGACAGAATTAAATCTAGTTATGCTTCTCTTCCCATTGCTGAAACTGCCTATCGGGAGTCACAAAACAAGTGTGGTCTCAATAGTAACTCGGTGACAAAACTTACTGGTGCAATCATATGACCTGTCTTCTACCTCTCTTCAGGTATCACTACTGTCCTGACAATGACCACCCTCAGCACCATTGCCCGGAAATCGCTCCCCAAGGTCTCCTATGTCACAGCAATGGATCTCTTTGTATCTGTTTGCTTCATCTTTGTCTTCTCTGCTTTGGTGGAGTATGGCACCTTGCATTATTTTGTCAGCAACCGGAAACCAAGCAAGGACAAAGATAAAAAGAAGAAAAACCCTGTATGTATTATTTCCCACTGGGATCTCTGAGATTTTTATTCAGAAATACTACTGGTTTTGGTTAAGTGTGGTTTGATTAGTCTGTCTGCAAACTAAGGTTCAGCAGCTTGGGCTTCAAGATGAAAACAGGATGTGTGAGTTTGGCCAGGCCATAGTACTCCTTTATGGTCACTGGTCACATGAGAGAAATCTGATTTTTTATGTCACACTTTTATGCAAATGTAATTACCTGCTTTCTTCATTTTGTAGGTATTAACACCATTATTGAGAAATGCATTCATTTTCTAGTTGCTATTCTTCTAAGTTTCATTGATTCCCTGCACCCTAACTATATTTTTGAATTATCCTTTTAAATTAAAACTTTCTTCCTTTTTTTATTGGTCAGAATCTCACTCTGTCACCCTGACTGGAGTGCAGTGGTATGCTCATGGCCATAGCATTCTCAACTTGCTGGGCTCATGTGGTCCTTCTGCTTCAGCCTTCAAAGTAGCTGGAATCACAGGCATGTGCCACCATGCCCAACTAATTTTTTTATTTTTTTAAACTTATTGTAGAGATGTAATCTCACCAAGGTGCCTAGACTAGTCTTGAATGCCTGAACTCAGGCAATCTTCTCACCTCCACCTCCCAAAGTGCTGGGATTATAGGAGTGAGCCGCCATGCTCAGACTAAATTAAAACTTTCATCCAAGGCATTCCACTAGGAAGTCACAAATTTTTTGAAGTTTTGCGGATCACTACATTTACACAAATAATTTAATGTCTGTTTGTGAGGGTGTATGTTTGTGAATTGCCACCAGGAGACTTCTATTGATTTTATTCTCAAAATGTATTTTTTGTTTTTAAAACAAATGTTTTACCTATTGTTTGGGCAAGTTAATTATTCTCCTGTGGCTTTGTCTTCTGATATACAAAATGAATATTATTAAAAATGCATGTCTTATGGGGCTACTGTGAGAAATAAATGTGGTAATAGAAGTTAAAAAATATGTAGTGTTTTATATAAGAAAGTACTTAACATTATTATCTGCTGGTGATTGTTGGTGTTGATGATTTATATAATTATCAACCTTGATTGATTTCAGTATATGTGTGATCTGGAAACAGGTAGGATGAAATCTACTTACCAGTGAACTTTAAACAGAAAGAATGAGGCACAAATGAAAATGCCTAAGGCAACAGTCTTTTATTGTGTATGTTGAGGGGAACATGTAGCCACCTGTTTACCCAGAATACAGTGGCTGGTTCACTGGGACCCCTGTGAAAGTTTAGATCTATTTCCTTCCAAGACAGGGAATCAGGAGACCCTCCTGGATTTACAGCCTTTCCTGGTCTTCTCCTCTAAGGGCCAGGAGGGTCATAATAGTGTCCAGCTATCTGGCACTTGGACTTTGAAGGTTGAATTATAAAAAGGAAATTTAGCTGATTCTAGGCTGTATTCTGCTACATCTCCAGAAACCCCTGTGAAATACTACAGGTGGCACCTTTGCATGTAAGGTTTGCAACAGATTTTAAAAAAGAGGCACCATTATTTTTTGATGATTAATAAAAAAGAAATGCTTGTGTTTAATTTCTCAAATATTTACTATGCTTTATGCAGCCCTTCCCTTCCCTGTCTATTCTGCCTCTCTCAGCCTTTCCATTTTTTTCTATCCTTGTTTTATTTTCCTTCTTGTGTTATTTTTCGTTGACTCCCCCTTCCTTCACTTTCTATTTTATTCTTCCCCAAGAAGGTGGTTCTATTGACTGTTGGTATATTACTGCCAGCTGTAACAAGGAAATAAGGACTGAATTCCAAGCACATTCTGAAGAATCCTTTGGAAAAAGTCCTTTGGCCCTTAACATCAGTTATATCATTGCAGAATGGATTTTGCTGCAAAGATAGAAACAGTTAACTTCCTTAATCTAGGGTCATGGAAATGGCAGAAGAAAAAATGGTAGAGGAGAATAGGATAAAAGAAAACTGAGAAAATGAAATTACCCGAGAATTTCACACATTTCTCTTTTTAAGTCAGTTAAGTGATTTATCAGAACTAACAAGAGTCTAATCTGAGAGTGAGAAGCTGAAATTTAATTTTCTCACTTAATATGCCCTTTGGCTAACTGTGTTAAGATCTACTTATTAAGACCTTGAAAATAAATAGAAAATAAAATCACAGAATTTCTATGTAGGGGTACCAGGCAATAAGAAGCTTCCTCAAAATTAAACAACCTTGGTCTTTTCAGTCAAATAATTGTAGATTAATTTATTAAAGATTTTACTAGTAATCACAAAATACCACTTTCTGACTTTAAGCAAATGACTTATTCCAAGCTCAGAACTCTCCTTCTGTGTTTATAATTTCAGTTCATTTCATGCACTATGTTTTCAAAATGTATTTTTAATTTATCTTATTTTGTCTCTCTCTCTCTCTCCCTCTTTTTTCCTTTTCTTATTTCTGCCTTTTTATGAAAAAAATGCAATTCTCTTTTCTGTCTACAAATCCAAAGCTTCTTCGGATGTTTTCCTTCAAGGTATAATGTTTTTGGAATGGAAATTCACTGCATGCAACTGCTGAATTTAACTATTAACGCTTACATGGTGTTTTATTTTATTTTTATGAGTAGACATTTAAGCATTTTACTAGAAATAACATTTTCAAGTTGAATAAAGTTGTATAGATTTCTTGAATTGATTCAGCAACTCTACACTAATTCATTCAGGTTTCTATCAAATACCAACCTCAAAAGCTATAAGCTTTATGAGATATCATAGGTAAAGAGGGTGGCTTTAAGCATCAAAGGCAAAATGAATTCTCTCTTCTAAGATAAAAATGGGATCCAGTTTCACTGGCTACATCTACTATATTTGTGCCCCTTTAAAATTAAAATTTAACTCTGTAAATCCTAATGCAAAAATAATGATTGTTTTATAAACTTTATGATCTCTATCTGAAATCCACCTGTAAGTTGTATAAAAAAATTTCTGTTTAAGAGGTTTTAAGTTACATAGCTATCCCGACCTTCCAGAGTGATCACTAGACCTGTTGGCTCTCTCATGAGATATTGCAATGACATTTCTGTTCAATTCTGATAGCTCGTTTAGGGACATTAGGATTAGTGTTTATATTATCTTATAACTAACTTATTCAAATTAACATTATTTTTACCGATTAGTTTTATAGCAATTTTATAATTGGCCTGATAACAGAGATTAGATTAGCATGGAGTTAATTGATACTAGATTATTCTCAAAAGCTAAAAATACTTTGACTGTTAGTGATATTCATTTCTGAATTTACATTCACATGCAGGTAAACATTACTGGCATTCTTAGGCTTATAGATGGTGAATGTTAAAGTATCACATTCCCTTAGAACATAAGCCATCACTTTGTGATAGGAAATCAGGACATTTTTATATTTATATAGGTTTTAACATTTTCTATTAACAGCATTTAATATATTTGCACAATGTAATGGGGATTCTAATTTGCCAAGCATGACACAAAATTTGATTTCAGAATTGATGTATTTTTATTTATCTGTTTCACTCACATGTAGCACCATTAAATTCCTTCATGTAACCAACTTCACATTAATAGTTACTAGAATATGATTCCATGTAGTTTGATTTAAATCTTTACACTTTGAGTTCTTTTGGTGTTCAATCTTGCTATAGCTATTAGCTTGATGATATTATTTTCAGCTGCACTGCTTAAGCTCAAAATATGAAATCTGCAAGTGTGCTATCTTTCTAAGTTCAATTTCACCATTGTAGATCATAATGCCATAGCAATTTTCTGAGTACCCATTTTCAGATTCATCATCACATTGGTGACTGTGAAAAAATAGTTTAGGGTTTCTCAAGTATAACTAAATAACTGATACCTCTCCTTCCCTACCATTGTCTCAGGCCCCCACTATTGATATCCGCCCAAGATCAGCAACCATTCAAATGAACAATGCCACACATCTTCAAGAGAGAGATGAAGAATACGGCTATGAGTGCCTGGATGGGAAAGACTGTGCCAGTTTTTTCTGCTGTTTTGAAGATTGCCGAACAGGAGCTTGGAGACATGGGAGGATACATATCCGCATTGCCAAAATGGACTCCTATGCTCGGATCTTCTTCCCCACTGCCTTCTGCTTGTTCAATCTGGTTTATTGGGTCTCCTACCTCTACCTGTGAAGAGGTATGGGTTTTATTGATATGGGTCTTATTCACTGAATCTCATAGAGAGAAGATGTTCATTCTAGGTCTACTTAAATTATCCCCTATGTTGTTGATAATGATCTGAATTTGTTTCTATGTCCAAACCTGGTAAATTGTATCATGTTATGTTGTTTGTGCCCAACTCTCCTTTGGTTAGTGTAATTTGAATTTTAATGTTTGCTGTGTTTCAAACCTGCAAGGCAAAGTAAAATTAGAGCAAGAACATTGAAAGCAAACAAGATAATTTTTAGTTAAGGCAACTGAAATTGTGGAAGCCCTATTTACAATGGTGGTGTGCTTACTTGATTTGTAATACCATTAGACACAAAAGGTCCCAAACTATACCCTATATCCACATAAGCCAAATTGTGGTAAATTTGGTCCAATAGAATACCTTTCTTATTTGAGAAAAATCACAACTCACATTAAATATAAAAGCCTAGATCAGAAATCTATTATCCCTTTATTCCGAGATAGGAATAATATTTCCTCCACATCACATGTACAATGATGTAAATATTTCAATAACTTAGAATGCTTCAAGTTTAATGCATGCATCTCTTTACAGCCAAAATAAATGGATTGAAGTTAACATTATAAAGTATTGTCTTTTATTCTGTGTCCTTGGGCTATAAAAGAATCATGAATGTAATTATAAGGATTTGGGTTTGGAAATGGAGGGAGGAATTTTCATTGCCTTCTCCCTCATGCATGAAGATTCAAACAGCTTAGTTTTTCTTTGTATGACACTTTAACTAAAATATAGATTGAATAATCAGTATTTGCCACCTCTAAATATGCCCAATTTCATGACTAGAGTATAAAGTAATTGTATGTGCTTGCTGCTGTTTTTTCTTCCCTTTAGGATGATAGATCATAACAGAACTTATTCTCCACACCTCAAGATATGTTTCTAGTGATTGTGAGTGCCTTGTGGGAAGAATTTTTGTCATATCTTCTTTGGGTCCTCAGTACCTGGCATAGTAACTGGCACATATTTAGTGCTCAGCAAATATAGTTTGAAGTGAATTGGCCTCATATGCTTCTGGTGAATCTCTCTTTGCTGGCCAGGAACCAGTGACTCATCTTTTCACATGGGCATTGTCAAGTGATATTTGATCTCTTAAAAATAAACAGAAGGATCCAAAGAACTTTAGATATTTATGTTCATCTTCAAAAATTTATTTTAGGCAGAAGTTCATACTCTTTTAAAAATAATGTTTATGTCCTATGTGTGTGTACAAAGATAACTCTATTAGGGCATAATTCGAGTTTGTGTATTATTTTCCAGGTTTGGAGATGAGTCATTCCTGACCCATCCATAATTTTATTTATCAATTTATAACAATAATAAGCAAGATTTATATCTGACTGGCATTCAGAATGTAGTAGTCTATGCACTGTGTAAAAAGTACTGAAGATTAAAATAAAACTGAAAAAAAGGAAAGACTTACCTAGACTTTTAGCCCATAACTGTAGCCTCATTAGGCTGCACTGTAATCAAATAAAGTGGCTTCCCATACTTCAAACATAATTAGTTAAGTCCCATCTTCATGCACTCATCCTGAATTCTTATTTTTTCTAAAATAGTACTCTTTGTTGATTCTTTTTTATGTCAAGTATTGTTCTAAGTTATATCTCAATCATAGCTAGTAAAGATTTATAGATAATCTAAAAAGAGTAGAGAAGAAGAGAAAATGGCTGTGTTAATATAAAATCATGTACAGTCATCATCAAGTCATCTGGATGAATCTTGAAACACATTTAGCTGCCAGTTTTACAAACCTTTAATATATCAGTGCTCTAGTATATAACCTCAAACAATTGTAAATAGATTGAATTATTTTCTTGTTTTGAATCATTAACATATTAAATGTTGACTCTTTGGGAGAGTTGTTGGCAAGTTCCAATGGTGAAAAACATGTCATTATTGTTAACTTGAAATGTGCTCTGTAACGGGGACACTAAAAGCTAGCTTTCCAATGTGTGCATAATATTGGCAATATAAATATATATATATTCTATATAATCGAATTCTTAATTATGAGCTGCTCCCTGTTGATGTATTTGAAAACCTTTTCACAAAGGGAATTGCCTAACATGTGGACTTTTACAATAAAAATGCTGCATTCTAATCCATGGTGGCATCTCAGTGGCCTGATTGGACTGTTTGTCTTAACCATTGTGACCTCTCTTTCCTGTCTCACTCCCCAAAATTATCTTTCAGTGAGCTTTATTTGTAGACTGTGTAATTGTGCTTTGCATGGTGATACTTTTCATTTTGAAAGAACTAAGGCATGCATTTGGGGTGTGGAGGGGAGAATGAAGGCAGAGATGTTATTAAGTATAGTTCAAGCCTCCTCTAGCTCAAGGTTTTTGGTGTGTTTTAATGTGCACTTCGCTGCCAGAGTTGGGATCTCAACTTTACCATTTACCAGTAGTTTCCAGTAATTATCACTTGGTCATTAGAAGCCTCCATTTCAGGGGAGCTATAAATTAGGTATAATAATGCCACCCGTGTAGTGACACTCAACAAATTGTCAGAGCCTGCTCCCTCACTTTCCATGTCTCCTATGCATTGCTGCCATGCTCCTCCTACCCCATCAAATTAACCTCTCTAATAGCATCCAGCAGTAGTCATATATGTCTTTAGGTGACTCTACTTCATGCTATTTTAATTTTAGGACGTATTTGTGTTGCAAACCTTCTTTTATACTATAGGTTGGAAATCCATGTCTTTTTGTTGAAGAAAAAAATCTTACATGTTAAATTAGTTATTTTTAAAGCCCAGAATTCTTCTTTGCACCCACAAAACTTAAGAACATAAGGATATGATTATCCTTACTTCAAATAAAGTGCTGTATTTTCTTAAAGTCTTCTGAAATTGTCCAAAGAATAAAGTTGTCTAATCCTTCACAATACAGGTACCTTAAACTTTCTCTGCCCATCATTCTCTTGGCCCCTTATAGCTTCCTGAATCCATCTTAAACATCTATTTCTTACCTGCTAGACATATAAAAATATAGTTTTCACTTAGGTCTTGTCTTTTATCTAACTCAATGCCATTGTCTTCAACTGTGTGTATCTTCATCATGTGGCGTCATCCTTTTTTTTTTTTTTTAAGTCTTAATATTATTCTGACTAGTAGCAACGAATTTTGTGTATGATGAAGGTCAAATTAAATTAACCAAATGGTTCGGTCTTTGGGGATTATGTCAAAAATTGCTAGCTCTATGCTTTGTCAGTATGAATTCTTGTCAAATGTGTAGGAGATGAGAGAATGACCTAGACCAATAGCTCTGGTATATTTTTCAATACTTAGTGAACTGCCAAAGGTCACACAGCTAGTTAATGGCAAATTGAAGAGAGTCGTCTGAGCATTGTTTTTCCACTGTGTCTCATAGTGTTCCAGGATTCACAGGTAAAATTCAGGAATACTTTATCTTTCTGTTAATGCTTTAGGAACTGCCAAACTTGAAGATGTTTTCTTTCTTGAATCTTGACCTCACTTTGATTCTTTTCATTGCAATGAAACAGAAGTTTTGAATACCTAGTAAGAAAGATAAGCTCATGGATTTTGCATTTCTTTTATTCCCTGCCATATACAATGAGCAATCTACTTTCCATATTACCATACTGCTTTCAGAATTGTTTCAAAAATGTGTTCTTAATCATTAAAAAAAATTCAGATCTGGAGCTGGTCTTTGTTCCTCAGGGTATGAGTCAGTAGACAACTGAAGAGTTTCCCATGGGTGGTATCTGCAGGCTCATTATTTTTACTATTTCAGCAAAGTGGTGGGAAGTGATCTATTATAATTATTTCCAAGGTTAGCTATTGTAAACCAATTACAAAACCCAGTTGCAACTTTCTTTGCCATATTTGGGATTTTAAAAATGTTTCTTCTAATTACTGTTTGTGTAGAAAAATGGAAAAACAGAGACCCTTGCTCCAGATCGAATAGGTTCAAATCCCAGCTTTGTCAAGACCTGTTATGCAACTTTTCTCTGTCTTAGTTTCCTCATCTGAAAAATAGTGATAATATTGGTATATATCTCAGACATTTATCATAAGGAGCAACGGAGTTAATATAAAGGGATGATTGTATGCTAGTAATTTTTCTCAGTACAGATAATAAAGTTTTAGGAAAAATAGTACAAAGGACCATATCTACTTTGCTTAAGAATTTTTCATCACTTGTAAAGACTCTTTTTTTCATAAAATAAAAAAGAAAAACACGTTATTGGATTAGAAATAAATATTTGAAGTCACATCTGGACATTTCCCCAAATACCATCTTGATGGGACTTGGTTTTTCAAATAAATTAGGGAATTTGATGCTTCATTTCAGGCAGGCTTTTATTCTATCACGTCTCTGCCATTTATTATAGTCTAATGTTATTGATTATCATTTAACATTCAGACTCCATTAAACTCTATCTTATCTCCACACAGCTATTGTGGCTTATTTGTTTTTTTTCCTCCTCGAATCTTCTTCAAAAAAGTGCTACATTTCTAGGATGTATTTCTGTATCCAATAGATTCAACAGTCTCTAATTAAAGATTCTACTTGGTCCATGAAGTCTTTTTAGTTTTACTAAAGTACAATATGCTATTCCCTTTTTTCTTTTCCAATACTTTTGGTTGTGATTTTTAGTGGCCTCCTCCTAATGTTAACCTCAGCTAAGAACATTCATCCAATCCTCTTAGTAAATACATTTTAAATGAACAATGCTGTGACAAGAATGCGATATAAATATTTCATTATTCATTTGCATCTTAAATCAGGTTGTTTATCTTCTGTCTCCCTGCTATATAAAGTTGCCTTATAGTTTTTTTGTCTGTTACTTGTATGTTTTGTGTTTGAAATTAAGGCCTCAACAAGGAAGTTTTTATTAAGCATCTTTTAATTCAATTCAATATAAAGTTTTCAGGCTGGGTGTGTTGACTCATACCTATAATTCCAGCACTTTGGGAGGCCACAACAGAAGGATCACTTGAGGTCAAAAGTTCAAGACCAGCCTAAGCAACATAGTGAGATGTCTCTACAAAAACAAAAATTAAAAAAATTAGCCAGGTGCAGTGGCACATAACTGTGGTCCCAGTTACCTGAAAAGATGAAGTAGGAGGATCACTTGAGTTCAGGACTTCAAGGATGTTGTGAGTTATGATAGCACTACTGCACTTCAGCCTGGATTAATAGAAAGGGACCCTGTCTCAAAACAACAACAACAGCAGCAAAAAAGTTTTCAGTAAACACACACCACAGGCCTCATGTGGGGCACTGTGAGTGCATGAAGAGATAAATTTCAGGCATTCTCAGCCTTGATTTGTTTTTGTTTTTGTTTTTTTGAGTCAGAGTCTCACTCTGTCACCGAGGTTGAAGTGCTGTGACACGCTCATGGCCACTGCAGCATCGACTTGCTGGACTCTGGCAATCCTTCCGCCTCAGCCTTCCAAGTAGTCGGAACTACAGGCACGCGCTACCATGCCCGGCTAATTTTTTATTTATTGTAGAGATGAGGTCTCTCCAAGTTGCCCAGGCTGGGCTGATCTCGAATCTGCAGGCTCAGGCAATCCGGAACTTACCTTAGCCTCCCAAAGTGCTGGGATTACAAACTGAGCCATGGAGCCTGGCCTGCCCTGATATGTTAAAGGGGCCAGAGAAGAATACAACTTACTATAGTGGAGATACACACCAGTAGTTGTAGGTAGAAGAAATCATTATTCTTATTGAGGGTGAAATAAGAAAAGGGCCTCTCTGTAATACGAAGTATATCATCATATGTGAGGTGGTCCTCTCACTGTTCCTTTTTTATGAGTGATGGGCTAATAAAAAACTTGCAGAGAATTTGAAAAAAATGTAAAACATGAAGAAAAAAATCATTCTTAATCAATTAGAAGAGTTAATCACTAAAAATATGATATATATTTTTCTTTTTTCTTCTCCATATGTATTTAAATATAGATTAGAAAGATAGGTAGAGAGATAGAAGCAGATATAGGTATAGATAGATTTAGATATAGATATATATCTCGATTGTGGCTGATTTTTCCACACAATTATGTATGTGTGTATGAGTATATTTAACACAACCTTTTTCTGACATTCTATTATTATATCACTGGGCTGCATTATAATTTATTTAGCCAGTCCCTTATTTCTGAATACTTGCATTATTTTTTTGTTATAAATAGTTCTACAATAAATATTTTCACCAGAGGCTGTAATATCTTTTACTATTTTCATAGAATAAATCTCTAAACATGAGTTTTGCTGAATACATTGTTTAACATTTAACAATTAGAGTCCTAACAAAAAACAGATTATACACCCCAAGGGGAAACTGAAGAAAAGTAATGAAGGAGCTACTTACAAAGATGTGGACAAGTTTAACACCTATACAAAGATGGTGTAGTGCCATGATCTAGTCACCGTGGAAAACCATTATCACTTATTTCTGTTGTATCAAGTTACCATGAACTTAATGACTTAGACCAGCACAAATTTCTTATCACATCTGAAGATCAGAGGTCTCACTGGCCAAAAATAAGGTGTGGGCAAGGCCACATTCCTTCTGCAGGCTCTGTGGGAGAATCCATTCTTTGCCTTTTCCATGTTCTAGAGGCCTCTTGAAATTCTTGGCTTGTAACCCTCATCCATACTCAAAGCCAGTAATTGCATCACTCAAATGTTTGTTTCCTTCATAGGTCCTCTGGCTGAGACCTCCTGCCTTCCACCTACCAAAACCCTTATGACACATTGAGCCCTTCTAAATAATCCAGGAGAATCTCCTCATCTCTAAATCCTTAATCATGCCTACAAAGTTCCTTTTATCGTGTAAAGTATCAATTTACAAGAACTGGAACATGGACATCTTTCGGGGAATTATTCTGCCTACCATATTTCCCCAGTCATAAAAACACAAGAGGAAAGAACAGTTACTGTACCTAGAAAGTGCTGTAGAACAGAAGCCATTCAACAGGAGCTATGACTTTACATAAATTCAGCCACTGCCAAACAGTGGTCAAAGAAGGAGTACTAAAAAATATCCAGAATTCTCTCTTCTTTTACCTAAAGCATGCCTTATTGATCAAACCAAATGGAAATTAGAGGGTAAGGTAGCCCATATAATGTGAA